TATAAATTAGAATAGAATAGAGTAAAGTAGAGTAGAATAGAATAAGGAATAGAATAGAATAAGAAATAGGATAGAATATAAATTAGAATAGAATAGAGTAAAGTAGAGTAGAATAGAATAAGGAATAGAATAAGGAATAGGAATAGAATAGAAATAGAATAGAATAGAATAGAACAGAATAGAATAAGGGACTAGAATAAGAAATAGTAGAATAGGATAGAATATAAATTAGAATAGAACAGAGTAGAGTAGAATAAGGAATAGAATAGAAATAGAAATAGAAATGAAAAAGGGAATAGAATAGAAAAACGGGAATAGAAAAAGGAATAGAAATAGAATAGAATAAGGAATGAATAGAATAAGGAATAGAATAGAATAAGGGACTAGAATAAGAAATAGGATAGAATATAAATTAGAATAGAATAAAGTAGAGTAGAATAGAATAAGGAATAGAATAAGAAATAGAATAGAAATAGAATAGAAATAGAATAGAAATAGAATAGAATAGAAAAAGGGACTAGAATAAGAAATAGTAGAATAGGATAGAATATAAATTAGAATAGAATAAAGTAAAGTAAAGTAGAATAAGGAATAGGAATAGAATAGAAATAGAATAGAATGAATAATAAAATATAGGAATAGGAAGAAAAGAGAAAATGGAATGGAATAGAAGTGCAAAATGCAGAATATAGAACATATATAGAATATGGAATGCTCCATCTCTTCCTTCTTATTCACCCCCCCCTTTAAAAGGACTAGCTCAATGAAGGGCCCTGGGGAGGAGACCCCCAGGGAATATAAGAAGCTGGAGAGGAATTAGAGGGACTTTGTAAAAATGGGACGGAGCACATTTTGCTGTCTCAAATAGTCTATCTCCCCCACCCCGCCCCAAGCACCATTTCCCACTGCTGGGACCTCCACGGCCTCACCACTGTCGCGGAAGACCTTCCCAGCTGTAGAAAGCGGAGGTTTGGGGTGGGGGGTGGGGGTTTAGGGTACCCGGTGGAAAAGATCTGGTGCCATTTCAAGCGAACGAGCTCAAAGGGAAGACGTCCCCCCTGCTACCGAATGGGACAACTCGCCGGGGACATCTTGCTGCGGCCAACTCACGGTAGCCAAACTCGCCATGCGAGAACTCGCCGTAGGACAATTCAACAATCCGATGTAGTTATTTACAACAACGTTTTTAACTGCCATCGTCCGCATCTCATCTTGTCCTTCCTTTCTTTCATGATTCCATTTCACCGTTTCTTCGATTATCAGCGTTGTTCTTGTCCCAGGGCGAGTTCAGCCGTGGAGAGTCGTCCTAGACCGACACGCACCCCCACCGCCCCCGTGGTCCACCACGAAAGAACCCAACGCGTCTCACCAGCATCCGGCGGGAGGTAAAAGACGAAGATGGCCAGGATGGTGATCAAGATACAAGGGATGATGACGTTGATGAGGTAGAAGAGCGGTTTACGGCGGATTATGAGGTAAAAAGTGATGTCCTCGTAGAGCGGGTCCGACGAGAGAGTGTTCTTGCGGGACGGTTTGTGCTGAAACTCCCACTGCCCGTTGTCTGGGGAAAGAAAGAAGGAAAAACTTCTGACACCACCCCCCCACCCACACTTGCCTCTCCTCCAGTGGGGCCAGGATGTTCCCACTCGGGTCAAGAAACCCCCTTGCTGTTTGAGCAAAATGAGGGAGGTCCCAGGAAGATGGAGTTGGGAAAAGTTGGGGAGTTCCGGAGAGGACAGGACGGTGTGCATGAAAGGGGGGATTTTGTGGAGAAATTCTGGGTTCAGTTGACCTGGGATAGAAGGCCATGGTGAGGAAAGTGGGGGAGCGCATTCCACACATAGCTTTGGCTAGAGTCGGATCTCAGAATACTACAGCAGGCTTGGGAGGGGTGCACCTCGTTGGTGAATGTGATTTATGACACAGACTGAGGAGAGGGAAGAAACGGGGGCAAAGTTCAGCCATAATTAAAATGAGGTCAGATCTGACTGTAATGGAGTATCGCTGAAATGGTGTTCCTGATAAACGACTGGATTTCTTTTGAAACTTGGCTCGAGGCTCATGAATTAAATAGGGCACTTTTCAGAAACCTGACAGTCCTCCTGCTTCAGATCCCTTTGAGGATGGCTTAAGACAGAGTTCCTAAAACTTTCCGGGTTGGGGGGGGGCAGAGCTGGGGGGAGCGAGAGAAGAGGGGATGGTTTTGTGGGAGAGGCAAGTGCATGTCCCTGTGAATGCATTAGCATCAACATTTGCTGTGACACTCGCGTGAGTGGGGCCACGAGCACATGTAACGGCATATACATTGGTCGCCCCCAGTGGTGATTAGCCTGATAGTCGGCTGCGGACCTCAGGTTGGGGACCCCTGGTTTAAGAGACAATATGGACATTGATTTGAGTCCAGGATATCTAAACAGTCAAGATGGCAGCCGCAATTGTGCAATCGAAGTCTGTCCTTTTTTTAAAAAATGGGCTTCGCAGAGCTGGAGAAAATTCCAGCTTCTTGGACAACAAAGATGACAAATATTGGCGTGGGTAGCACCACACAAGACAAACATCACAAAACTCCATCTCACTTATTTTGGGCTTATGTCGCGCGGGGGAATTTGCTGGAAAAAGCCCTTACAGTGGTACCTTAGTGCTCAACCGTTTTGAAATTCATCGAGTTTGGTACTCGACACATTTTGATGCGGACATTTCGGTACTCGTCGTTTGTTTAGTACTCAACACAAAAGTTAGAACTCGTCGGCGTCGGATGCCTTATTCGCTACACTATTCCTGACGGGGGAAATGTGTTTGTTAGTCCTGGCACTCGTCACGCCTCCTGGAACCAATTAACGCTGAGTACCGAAGTATCACCCGCTTTCTGTTGGGAAGAGTAAGCGGTAAAAGGAAATCGCCGCATCAAAGAACACGGGAGCTGGACCCTGTGAAAACGGACACCGGCCAGAACATAGAACAACTCAAGAGAAGCAGTGCACGATTGGAAGATGTGGAGAGACTCAGCGAAGAGAATCGTCAGGAATCGGACGCAACTGAACGGATAACGTCGTTGTCGTCGTCGCAGGAGACATTATTAAAAAAAGGAAGATGAAGCAACATTGCATGAATGCCGTACAGAAGATGGGGGTTCCCAGGAAATCATTCCTCGATTAATTGAACGAAGCTGGCGCGAGAGGTTCGCGCGACCCCAGGACCACGTCCTGGGGTTCGCACAGCAAACGAGCAGACGTCGCCCCCACGGTGGGCGACTTTTCCTCACCGATAAATGTGTTTTCGTATATCAGGATCTCCTTCACCTCCTGCCCTTTCTCGTCCACGGGGTGCAAGAGGGTGATCTCCGAGGCGTCGTACGTGTACGAGCGGAAGACCATCGTGCAGTTTTGCCAGTCAAACGGGAAATAAGTCACCTGCAACGGCACAAAAAACACAAGCGGGAGAACTGAGGGAGGCCCCGCCGCTTCGGCGTAGGCCGGAAACTGCATCCTCCTTTATACAGCAGTCCTCGACTTACGACCACGATTGGGGGTGCAATGTCCATTGCTAAACAATGAGGTCGTTAAGAACCGTGGCGGGGGGCGGTGGTTAGAATGCAATACAGGCAGTCCTCGATTTACAACTATCCATTTAGTGACTGAAGTTGCAACAGCGCTAAAAAAAGTGACTTATGACCATTTTTCACCCGTTATAGCGTCGCGTGAATAAAATTCAGACATTTGACAACGGGCCTGTATTTATGACGGTTGCGTGATCCCCTTTTGCAACCTCCTGACAAGCAACGGGGAAGGTGGATTTGCTTAACAATTGGGGTGTCTATCTTAACAGCAGCGATCCACTTAACGATGGTGGCAAGGAAGGTCATTAAATGGGGCAAAACTCACAAGATCTGTCTCGCTCAGCAATGGAAATTTTGGGCTCAAATAGGCTGAACTACAAAGCCCATCGTGCGGAGGGAGCCGAGGGCTGGGAGCGGAGTCGAACCTGGATCCCGCAGCTGCTCCGATACAGGGCTGGGGGCTGCCACTGGACCCTCCCGTTGTGGTGCAGGAGGACGTCCACGCTGAGGGCGATTGTGAAGACGCCATCGTTGCTGCGCGGGAAAAAAAGAGACGAGAGAGACGCCGTGGATGGCGGACGAGAAACGGGAAACCGGCTCTGCCTTCAACGGGAAAAGGAGATACTCCAAACCCTCGACCGACCGGAGGACGGCAGCCAGTTGAAGGCTGAGGTTTAGCCCTTACGGGGATAGGGGAATGCCCCCCCCCCCGCCTCCCTAAGTGGGCAGGTCAAGATGGAAAGAAATCTAATTAATTTAATTCAGCCTGATCTCTCCTTTCTTTTCTCCCTCCCTTAATTCCTTCCTTCCGTTTCTCATCCCCTTCTTTCCCCCCTCCCTCCCTCCCTTCCTTATTTCTTATTTCTATCCTTCCTTTTCTCATCTTCCTTCCTTCTTTCCTCCCTCCCTCCCTTTTTATTTCTTTTTTCTATCCTTCCTTTTCTCATCTTCCTTTCTTTTTTCCTCCCTCCCTTTCTTTTCTTTTTTCTATCCTTCCTCTTTTCATCTTCCTTCCTTTTCTCATCTCCTTCTTTCCTCCCTCCCTCCCTTCCTTATTTCTTTTTTCTATCCTTCCTTTTCTCATCTTCCTTCCTTCTTTCCTCCCTCCCTCCCTCCCTTCCTTATTTCTTTTTTCTATCCTTCCTTTTCTCATCTTCCTTCCTTCTTTCCTCCCTCCCTCCCTCCCTTCCTTATTTCTTTTT